CACACACACACACACACACACACACACACACACACACACACACACACACACACACGGGAGAGGAGAGGGCCTGCCAACCCTCCCTCGGAGGTCGAGAAAGGCCCAGCGGCATCCATTTGTAGTGAAAGAAACGCAAACCGCTCAAAGCAGAATTGCCTGTTTGTCCATTTGGTAATGTTTATTGAGCACCTACTGTGTGCCAGTCTCTGGCAATGCAGCAGCGAAGAAGCCAGACAGGAAAAAGTCCTGAAGATCGTTTAAAAAATTTACGTTCAAAACATTGTAAAGCAATTATATTCCAATAAAGATGTTAAAAAAAACAAACAAAAAACCCACAAACGATTTACCACTCCCCAGAGGACAATGGCCTATAAATGTGCTTGTCATAGGACTGCCCCAGGATCCACGTCTGGAGGGGCGCCAGGAAAACTCCGTGTCTGCTTTGCGGTTAGTCCTGGCCAGCGCAGCCCATCTTGGGGCTGACCTCTTACCCAGCAAAGTTTGATGCCCACCACGGCCATTCCCCCACGCCCCAGCCGCAGAATGCAAGGCCTAGGGCCTCCGAGTGCCAGAGCCCGTGGGATGGTGGGCTGGGGGCAGGCAGAGCAAGCATCAGGTCATTCCACCCAAGAACTGCTCTGGCCTGGCCTGGCGTCTACACCTGACTCCTTTGGGACTCAGACCTGAGACCCCCGCCTGGGAGGTGAGGCTGGAAATAAATGGCCCTTCTCAGCCCCAGGCAGGACGCTTTAAGGGAAGAAAGTTCAGCAAACCCCAAGGCCCATCTCCTTGACAACCACCAATAAGAGCTCCTTTTTTCTTCTCCCGCTCTCCAGGCCTGCCTGAAAGACAAGACTTTCCTCTTTTTGTCCACTCTGCTTGCACCAGTCCACACCCAACTTTCCTCTCCCCACCAGCTCCCATCCTGCCCCAACACACACTCTTTTTGTCCACTCTGCTTGCACCAGTCCACACCCAACTTTCCTCTCCCCACCAGCTCCCATCCTGCCCCCACCACACACACACACACACACACACACACACACACACACACACTCACATACACCCTCCAACACACACCCTCAGCCTCAGGCATACATGCTCTCACTCATACACACACTCATATACATCCTCACAGACACATACCCTCACACACATTCACACACTTCAAGCACGTAGCCTCTCACACACTGACACGTGACCACACACACACTCACACAACCTTCTGTAGGCAGTCTCCGCAGCCCTGGAAAGTTGAATCTGTCCAGCCACCTTGCTCCCAATCTGACTTCATATGACAAACAGCTTGTGGCACTGGCCTGCTGGCTGAGGCAAGGGGTCCCGCACATGCAGAGAGGGCCAGCCTTACCCCCGCGATCAGACCAGACATTTCCTTCCATGTGGTTACTCCAGCTGGTGGCTTAATTTGGGAGACCCTGTTATCAGGCTTTATTTTGCCCTCCTCCCAGTGGTGTGGCTTCGGGTTTCTGGGGGAGAAAGTTCTTGTGCGTTAGGTAACAGGACAAGAAAGGTGAGCTGGGGCAGGAGGGCAGTCCTTTCAGGGGCTCTAACCGACTAGAAACAATGCCCTTTAATGTGCTTGTTCGTCAGGGGGCCCCTCACCCCAAGCCAGGTGCCTCCCAAGCTTGACGGTAGCAGGGGATTCTTATTCCAGGCTCTGTCCCCCCAGATCAAGGAGGAAATGGAAGCAGGGTGGTGGCCTGTTAGACTGTGACCCCCCAGATCCCGGAGGCAGTTCTCACTCACTCACACCAAGTCCAGTCCCTAGCCTGCGCCTTCAGGGCGTGCAGAGAAAAAGTGGTTCCTTGCAGGGGGAGATCATGGTCTGGGCTTAGGAGGAGTCAGGGAGCGGAGGAGGAGGGGGCTGGAGACACACACTCAGAAGCCCCCCAGGTATGCACTGAAGGAGGTGGCAGAGAAAGAGGTGGTCGCTTCTGCCCCAGGGGTGGTCAGGAAGGCCTCCCAGGGCACATGACCCTAGAACTGGGCACCAAGTATGAGTAGGAGATTTCCGAGATGGACAAAACCACGTGCAAGGTCTGAGAGAGAGAAGGTGGGGGCCTAGGAGTGGATATCCTCAAAGCATCTCGCAAACTGTTAAGTGCTGCACGTGGGTGATGGTGGCATGGAAGACAGCTGCTCACTGAGACTGTGGTGTCTGTGCAGCCAGGATGGGCTGGTGGGGTGAGATCCCGTTTGTCTGGACTCCAGCCAGGGGTGTCTCGCAGCCTCTGGAAACTGGGCTAGGCAAGTGGAGGCCCAGGCATGAATCAGACAGTCACTTTGGGAGGGAACATTCCATGGGTCCCCATCACTTTCCAAACAACCCGTGAACACTTTGTGGGACACCCTTTGCCCTCCCCAGCAGTCCTCTCCTTGACAAACCACTGGCAAAGATGGCCTCACAGACATCTTGCTTTCACACCTCCAAGCCTTTGCCCACGTGCATCCCTCTGCCAGGATTGTCCTTACTTTCCTTTTTCACCCCTCCTCTTGTGCCCACCCCTGCCTCCAGGCAGGGTGTAGGGTCTCCTCTGGGCTCCGACAGACCCTGGGGCTTCCCCATCGGAGTCCAGCTCACCCTGGGTTTCACATCGTTTCTTCCCAGGCTGGGGGTTCCCAAAAGTGAGGCTCACAGCTGATCCACATCTGGAGTCACAGCTCCCAGCTGGGGCCTAAGAAATGATTGTTGAATAAATGAATGAATGGAAAAAGAAGCAAGACAGACATCATTTAACTGAGAATTCATATTATTCCAGGGAGTGGATAAAGATTCTTTGGCTATTTGATGCGACCTTGGGGAATGAATCCGGCTGCCCACTCTCTCCTGGGCACCTCCATCCTCTGTGCCTCTGAGCTGACCAGCAGGACCACTGTCCTCTGGGGCCCTCTGGGGCCCCCTGCTGACACCTCGCAGAGGTCTGAGGAGCAGCAGAGGGGAGAGGAGGAAAGCAGCGCTTCTGTTCCTTCCAGGCACACAGCCTCTGCCACCCCGACTCCAGCCTGCTGACCCCAGTCTTCAGCATAAGAAGAACTTACTTTTTAAAATTTCCTCAGGAAGAATTCTCTGTTCTTTAAAAACATAAAGTTCTTTGAGAAAATAAAGTTCTCTGCAGGCATGAAATGTCATTACAGGGATGTGAAGGCTTGATCTTGATGACTTTAGATGCTTTTGTCATCCTCTCTTATTAAAAATGAACCTTCATAATAATACCGCTTTGTGTTTGCTCACAAAGACTTCCAAGGCTAGTTTTTGTGTGTGTGTGTGATCGCTGGGTGACCATGGGCCCCACAGGTCAGGTTCCCTGGCTTAAGCCCCTGCTTGTCAAATGAGGGTCTCAGTCCCCAGGAGCCCTGGACACCTCCAGCTCACGTTCCAGACTCCTCTGAAATGACGCTCCTGAGATTCAGCACTCAGGGTATTCTGACCTACCGTCTGCCTCTTTCCCCAATTATAACAACAGGTACCATGTATGGAGTGTCGTGTGTACCCAGCACTGTGCTCAGATGTTCTCTGTGTTACATCATTTATCCTGAGAGGTAGAAACTGCTACCACCCCCACCTTACACCTGAAAAAACGGAGACTCAGGCCGCTTGCTGGGACCACAGAGCCAGCCAGTGGCAGACGTGGGATCCGAACCCAGGTCTGTGCGACTCCCAAAGACATGCTCTAGGCCATTATGGCTAATAAAACCCACTTGAAGGGAGTTAGGGCGCTCCTCCCTGTAATGCACAAAGTGTTACTTTTTTGGTTTTGATATTGAGAAAAGTGGTTTTTACATAGTGGCCAAATTGTAACAGTTTGCAATTCATATGGTTGATTTGAGGTACTACCCAGTTTTATGCTCCCCGTCTTTCTAACAGGTCCGCCCCCCCCCAACCCATCTAGGATGGCAACACTTCACTCTAGGATACTGGGAGGGGCTGTGTAGAAGTGGGAAGTGGGGAGGACGTGACACACACACGTACCCCTACGCATCCACTCAGGGGTGTATGTATGGAACTGACTCAAGCAGCAAGGCCATAGACGCATCCACAGCAAAAGCTGCAAATGAATCCTGGAGACATCCCAGCTTCACAGAGGCGGAAGCCTCAGCACAGCCCTGCAGGTCTGCTGCCCCATGGGCGTGTCCACCGGAGCCCCTCAGGCACCTCAAACTCACCAACTGGGCCCCCAGCTCCTTCGGCCCAAGCCTGCTCCTCTGAGGGCCCCCTTGCCTCGGGGCTGGCATCTCGCCCTGCTCCCTTCCCCACCCACCAAGCCCTGTCAATGCCACATAAGCTCTCCTCTCCATTCCCTGGGCTGCTGACTTGGTTGAGATGACACCAGCTCTCACCCACATGACTCCACAGAGGCTCAAACCCATACCCACCAGGGTAGCTGGAGTCGGTGCTCAAAGACAGATCTGACCTCTCCCGTCCTTGCTGCCTACAGGACACAGTTCACTCGAGACTGTGCTGCTGCTCCATGCTGCCTCACACCTCTGAGCCACAGC